CTCTCCGAGGATCTTGCCACATTCACGCCTGCATGCTAGTAATCCCCCCACCTGCAACTCCAGTCATCATCTCTCCGACAAGCCTTTGGCCTGAGTATCCCATAAATTCTAACTGAGTCTGATAAAACCGAAATCACCTTTTCCTCGAAACCTGTTCCTTTTCTTACATTACCTCTCTTTTTTGAGGTAGGACCTCCATCCACCCAATGAGAGATTTTTGAAATCATTGTTATCTTCTCACACCACCCTCAGGTCCTCATTTTCTACAATTAATCAGTAACCAAGTTCTTTCAGTTTTACATACTAAATATTCTTGAATATGTCCTTTCTACCCTAGTTTGAGCTTCTGACCTAGTTCAAGAACTCCTCATCTCTTTCTTTAACTATTAAAATACCTCCTACTGCTCTTTCTCCCCTCCAATCTGTCCTCCAGAGAACAATCCAAATAATCTACCTAAAATGGGAGGCTGTCTACAACTACGACCTTTCTTTTAAGTGCTGCTTTATCATCCATTGATTCAAGTCCAAGCTCCTTATCATAGCATGAAATTTCCTCAGTGACATCTTTTCATAGTGTGCGTCAGCAGGACTAAGCTACATAGAGTTCTCTAAACAAGCATACATTTGAGTACCTCTGTGTTGGAGACCCTCTGCCTATCTCCATCACTATACCTGCCATATCATATTTAAATTACCCACACCTACCCTTTCAAATCGGGCTGTACAGAACAGTTCTTATTCATGTTTGGTAACTCTAGAGCCCAGCACTTGCTCCTTCATTCAATGAATATTTATTTATTTATTTATTTTTCTTTTTTTTTTTTTGTTTTTCTTTTTTTGTTTTGTTTTGTTTTGTTAAATTTTTATTTTGTCAATATACACTGTATATGATTATTATGGCCGATCACCGACACCTCCCTCCCTCCTCCCTCTCTCCCCTCCCCCCCACGAATGTCCTTTCCGTTTGCTTGTTGTAACAACTTCATGAAAGTATAGTTGTTCATTCAATGAATATTTATTTATTTTTCTTTTTTTTTTTTGTTTTGTTTTGTTTTGTTAAATTTTTATTTTGTCAATATACACTGTAAATGATTATTATGGCCGATCACCGACACCTCCCTCCCTCCTCCCTCTCTCCCCTCCCCCCCACGAATGTCCTTTCCGTTTGCTTGTTGTAACAACTTCATGAAAGTATAGTTGTTCATTCAATGAATATTTATCAAGTGCCTACTATTACCCAGGGTTCTGAGGAAACAACAGAGAACAAAACAAAGAAAGTCAGTCTTCATGAATCTCACATTCTAGTGATGGGACTCCGGGAGATTGCCTACAAAACAGGTAATTAAGATCTAGCACTCATAATGAAAAATTTTGAAAATTGGGCGAATTAAAGAGTCTTCTTAAACCACCATCTAAGCACACTGTCTGGAACATTGCTCTGACTCATTTTTCCTTTAAATAACAAATATGGTAATGACTAAGGCAACTTAAGCAACAGATTGAACTGCCCTATCTGTGGATACTGTGGTCTTTAGTAAACGATCATTCTCTGAGCTAGTAGAAAACATTTTCCTATATACATAGAAATATAACATCATATTCAAATCATCCTCCGGGGATAGGGAGGAAATGAATAACATCTCATGGAATTACACATTTTAAAAAGCTGCAGAAGATTAAAGATACCTTCAAATGTCATCATAATAAGTTATTTCCCTCACTTAAGAATTCTATTCTCATTATATTAGAAGAGGCAAATTGACATACTTCCTATTTCCCTAATATGTGCTTATTAGATAACTTCCTAAACAACTTTTATTCATGGATGATACAATAAATTAGTCACTACTTTCCACAGAAGGAAAAACTGAGAACAATAAAATTATCATAAGAAACATATAAAGTTTGAAATAATTGTGTTCTCCTTTTTGCTTCCCCCATTTAAAGTAGTTCTCTCAATTAACATCTTTCTAGATTTCTAAAGGATTTTTGCCTTTACTGATTAACTTCTTCATGAGTGTTCATGATTTTTAGAATTCAGTGCCCCTTCACCTTCTGCAACCTCAAAGGACTCTTCTACCTCTGGGTGAATTTCAATTCTTTTCTCGCTTAGCTCCTTTACCTACACCTCTACAAAGCTATCTTACAGGTGACTCAAACTGAACATGCCTATTTTCCCAACCTGCAGCAAATCTGCTCCTCTTACTGTACAAGGGAAACAGCTCATGAATGGACACCACCCTTTATCCAAATGCTCATGCCAGCAATCTAGTGTCATCCTGATTCCCTCTCTCTTCCTTACCCCACACTCAGTCTATGTCCATCTCCTGTATTCTGTATTGATTCTTCCTCCTCAATGTCTCTCAAATGTGCTGACTTTGCTCCATGCCTTCTGCCATCTCCCTGGCTCTAGCCCTAATACAGACCCTCATAGCTTTTCACCTGGATGACTGCTTTATAATTGGTCACTACGCATCTATTATTTCCATGTCTATCTAGAATTTAGTGTGATCTTTTTAAAATGTAAATCTGACCATGTTGCTGTTCTAACTGATGATACTGAATGTCCTTCCATAACCAAAAAGGCAGAGACCAAATTCCTTAACGTGCCTTCTGGGCCCTAACCAATCTGGCCCATCTTTACCTCTTATTAAACACCATCTGTCAATACTCTCCTTATGATCAAGCCATACCCAAATGTAAAAATTTCTTGTCACCAACTTTTAAACATCTGTACCTTTGTGCAGGCTGTTTGTTTGGCTCACAGCACACCCCTTCTCCTTCTCTTGGAAAAGGAAGTCTTCTTTGACTCTTGGAGCCAGGTTGGGTTTCCCTTCAGTTTGTTTCCCACACCCATCATACTCTGTAACCATGTGATCCATGACTGTCTTCCCACTAGAAGGTAAGTGCTAGGAAGAAGGTCCATGGCTGCTTTGTCCATTTCGGCATCCCCAGCACTGAGCACAATGTAGTCAGAATAAATATTTAACTAAATAGTAGTGTGGTTCTAACTGAAAACTCGTCATTGAAAAGCATTGAGAATTAATTAATTATTAGAAAACATGAAAAACTTCTTTTTCCCCAAAAGGCACAACTGGTATAATTTTGATCTTTGGCGAATATTTGTCACATTCCAGAGTGTAAATCCCAAATGTTAAGTCTGCAGTCAAATTTGCACTTCATCAGACCTACAATGTAGGCTGGTGTTTAGCTGCCCAAGTTGACATCTGGACTGACTCATTTTAATCTGACTGTTTGAGGTTTGCTTCTTCAGCTGTTGTTGCACTATGATTATCAACCATTTGCTTTTTAGATCAGAGTTTAATGGACTTAGAGGAAGAAAACAACAACCTTCAGAAGAAGGTTTTTCAATCTTTTATTTTTCAATCTTTTAGCAGAAAATAACTAGCAATCTTTCCAACAGGTGCCCATTTACAGCTCTCTCAAATTATATATATTCTTCAGAATAAAATAAAAACAGAGACCAGAACTTGAAGCTACATTCCTATGTTTTAAACTTGTTTTCAGTAGATAAAATCTTAATATAAGGTCTTTGAAAATAAAAACTGAGTTTTTACCAAATGCTAAAACTAAGAGCATTTAAACTTCATTCCATTCAGTCAGCAAATATTCACCAAGCACTTCAGACTTGCGATAAGTGCTGTAGTGGAATTATATTTTCATGTGTTTTGTAATGTTCTTTGATCCTCTACTTCTTATTACCCTGTGACCCCTCAGACAACAGCTGGGCATTCTACTCATATGTGTCAGGGAAGAACTCTTACAAACAACACAGGAGAAAAAAATCCCAGGCCTTTAAGCTTCAAAATCCTAAGTCCTGAAAGCCCTGGGCATAACATTTTTAAAAACCATGTAATCAGTTGGAAAATTTCTTCCACCCCCAGACTAGATAAAGAATCTATGCCAAGAGAACCAGAAAAGAGCAAATAGAAGATGGGTGGGAAGAAGAGGGGAAAGGGAGACAAGAAGGGAGAGAAGAGTGGACAGGGGAGGGAAGGAGATAAGGGGAGAAAAGAGGCAGGGAAGAGAGAGTCAGAGGGAAGCAAAAGAAGGAGATGCTAGGGAATTCCCCTTTGAGGGGTCTGTTCCTGAGATTCCCAGACTCTCTATCTAGCTGGAGAGAAAGTTGAAAACTCTGGATAGATTTGGGGATCTAAGAGTAAGTGGGAACCCATTCTGCCTTTCCCTGGTAGAGTTGAAAGAAGAAAACAAGACATCAGAGTTTTCCCGTGCTCATCATTGTGTCAATTAAGATCCAATGAGGAAAACAGAAACAACTCTGAGTATTCAAAACTGAGGAAATTTAATTTTAACAGAAAATTGACTGCTTAGGTAGTAGAAAAACCAAGAAGCCCAATGGGGTAATGAGATTAGTAGCAGTAGGGAGCCATGACTGCCACTATGCTGGAAGGACAATGGGAAGAGATGTTGTTATTGGAACCCAGGAGCCAAGGTCATACAGGGAAGCTGGAACCACACAGCAGGCCTGCCAGAGGGAATTGATCAGTAGCAGGAAATGAGTTCCTTAAAATGTATCCTTTTATAGATTTGATGGGGCCATTTCTAGACTACAATCTTGAACTAAAGACTGAGATCCCAAGGCATTCAGGTAGTCTTACAGAATGTTCAATCCACAAGAAAAATATACTTAAGCCATGCAAAATATATTATCTCACTTTGACCAAACTTCCATAATGAAACAAATTTCAGATTATCATGTAATACTCCAATCTGTCAGAACTTTCCTCAAAATACTGTATTTTGCTATTTTTTAAATAGAGAAACAAGACTATTGATTTACAAATAGTCTCATCTATCACTATTCTAGAAACAATCTTCCTAAACTTGCCTTTTAAAACCTTATAATTTAAGAGATGAAAATAATTGTTGTTCTCTTTATTGCTTACAAAATAGAAAGTGATTATATCACAGAAAACAATAAAAGTGATTGAACTGTTTTGAATTTTTTTTTTTTTTACCTCATTAGAGATGCCTGTTCCAGAGAGGTCTACCGATATCAAGGAAAAGATGTTTACAATATATTCTATACCTTGGTCAGTAAAATGTTCACAATTTCGTAAACTCAGGTAGTTTAAATTAGGGCAGCTGAAAAAAAGCAGCATGAAGAAATAATTTCAGTTTTCAATCACATCTTCAGTAGCAATTCATACAGAAACTATCTGGGGAAAGCAAATGGTATTGAAAGAAGGATTTCCCTTTTCTCAACATAAAAGTAATCCTAAAAGTGGAAAATAATTTGGTATTACAAAGTTGGATGAAAGGAAGATACATTATTATATAAGACTTTCTTTCTGTGATTTAGTTTCATATTGCAATTTCTAATAAGAAAAAAAAACATTAAATGCATACAAAAAGCTATTAGGTAAATACCACGATGAATGACCACTAAAAGTGTAAGGTTGAGTTCCTCGCTTATCCCTTTTAAGTTTTCTACAAGAATTGGGTTTGACCCTTAGTGAACACAAGACATCTGATAAGTCAGGGGAGTCAAGAATAAACCAACCAGCCAGAAACACCCCTTGCGAAAGGCTGCAGTAAAGGTTTACATAGAGAAATATCCTCGAAAAGTACAGAGAAGTCACAAATATTTAGATATTCACGACTTCATGAATGACTCCATTTCAAACTTTTTCTTAGGTGAAATTAATAAGAAACATCTCAAATATAATCAAAAGATTAGCTCAATCTATGACCGTGTTGTCTTTTATTTGGCTTGACTGAGTATTGGTCCAACTTCTGGGCATCCCTGATGTTCTTCAAATGGCTCGGAGTCTTTACTTTTAGGTCTCTCTCTCTGATCTATCATTCCTACTAGCAAATATACAATTACCAATGATATGATGTAAAATATTATTGTTTTGTCATACCGCTCTGACAGTTTCACAATAGAGGAATCGCCCAGCTGTATACAGTTATTTAAATTTAGCTCTCTTATCTTTATGCTTGCAGGACCATCAAGAAATTGCTTTAGTCCCATATCACCAATTCTGCAGGAAAAATTAGAAAAGCTTCATATGTAATTTTACATATAAATATATAAAATAGTATTAAAATACCATTTACCATACCCAATACCTTTGCAAAATAGTAAGGAAATACGTATGTATTGATATTTTGTCAACATTTTAAAACCAAATTTGATTATATAGCTTTTAACATAATAGAAAAAGTATAAATGATAATGGAAGAAATATTAATAAAAATGTTATTTCTGTTCATTTGTTCATTTAATTAGGTAGCACAATTATTAATAAAACAGATGGCCCTTAAATCTCTTTCTCTTGGGTTAAAATGTGATCAAGTTAAGCAGTCCCTGATATGATCTCCTGCAAAAGAAAAAGACCAAAATTTAGGAGAGGGAGGACCAATCTTGTGAAAATTTTCACTAAATACAAGGTCAGTTTAGCTGGACTAGAAACTAATAAGTGACCAATGGATTATTTCCTTCTGAATCAGAGAAAACCCGGCACTGGAAGATTACCTTGCCCTCAGCCTTCCCACACTGTCCTAATCAGAAACACCTTCCAGTGTTAGTGTCATCCTCCAACCATATCGGTCCTGCTATATGAATGGTTGGAAGTCTGTTTAGCCCATTAGTTCTCTGTCTTCCACTGGAACCTCAATTTCTAATTCCGTTTGGAGATCACTGTTTCCTTCTAAAAAGCATTTCAAGAAATAAAGCAGGACAGGAGATTTGACCAATGCAATCCTAAAAGGCAGTTTTCACACACAACAATCCTACATGGGTATACAGACTGGAAGAGCATTGGGAGCTGATTACTGACATTTTTCATATCCTCCTCCATTTGGTCAGATTTGCAAAGAACTGAGCAGTAAGTAAAGGCTAAAGGTAACATTTTGATTCAGCTGAATTTGCTGTAGTACGTGGATGCTTCCTGTGCTCATCAGTCCAACCTTCCATCTGTGTCAGTACCTGGGACAGCTGGGGGGGATGGGAGGTATAGGAAGAAGGGGAGTCCAAATGCAACCAGTCAACTTATCTAGTAGTAAACACCAGGACTGGAGTATTCCTGAGAGATGTTTTCACTAACAAGGAAACAAAATACAGCACGGGATTTGTAAGACTGAGAAAGCATACTTCTGGAAATGATTTTTAAGAGAAAACAGAAAAACATTAAAATATTTTGAACGGTGTGAGGAGGAGTAGGAATTAAAAAGGAGAGACCTGGCTGAAATAGAAATGAAAATAATCTCAGATGCATTCTGAGATGAAGAGGTGGCTGCCTGAGATAAGAACAGATGGGAAAGAAACTAAAAATTCAACGATAAGAATAATGACCTAATTATTCCTGAAGCATCAAAACCAAAACTAACCCTTTAGATAATTGGAAAGTAAAGGGCATATTTGAAAAGTTCCTTTGGAGTGCTTAAGATAAGGATGAAGAATTTAAAATAAAATTCAACCTTCATTGGTTAACAGATACAAAATCACAGTTACATAAGACAAATACGTTCTAGTGGTCGACAGTAGTGCTAGGCCTCTTTAATTAACAGTAATTTATTGTATGTTTTCAAATGGCTATGCACCAAATAATATAGCATAAATACAAAATAAAGCAAAGATGATTAGAAATTTAAAAGGTAATTAAGATTTGTGGAAGACTCAGCTTTTGACAGACAAAAAAAGGGGCATAAAAATTTGAATAATATAATAATGTAAGTTCCATGGAATTTTAAAAGATATTCAACATGCTAACCAACACAACCATCATCTTCCCCACCACTCCTACCCCTAAATAAGAAACTTTCAATTCCAAAAGACAGAAGTTGTGTAGAGAACTTCCATATTTTTGTATTACAATGTTATAAAACTAAAAATTAATAATAAAATGATAATTGGACATAAACTACTTGGAAATTTTAATATTTCTTTAATAATTTTTGAATAAAGGGAAAATTAAATAAGTATTATAAAGCTGCATATTTTTCCACAATTAATTTATATATTTAACACAATTCCAATTAATATCTCAATAGGATTTTTTCTAAAATGTGACAAAATTATTCTAAAGTTCATCTGGAAGAATAAACTGGCTAGAATTTCTAACTTAAAAGTACACTAATAAGGACACTCTCATTCTATTAGATATTAAAACATTCTAATGCACTAAGAGTAATAGATAGCATTTACTGAGTGCTTATGATGTGCCAGACACTATTCTAAGGACATTACATGAACTAACTTATTTGATCCTCACAGCATCCTATGAGGTATATACTCTTGTTCTCCCATTTTATAGATAAAATACTGTATGAGATTAGATAGAACATAAATAAATGAAACACAAAAGACAGCCTGAAAACATACATATATATACATACACACATATGTCTGTTTAGATGTATGCATATGTGTGTATGTGTATATATATATATGTATGTATGTGAGTATGTATAAATTCATATTATAATCAAGGAAGGATCAAAAGTCAATGCAAATGGATTATTGAGGTAATGATCCAAGTTAATCAGTTAATGCAGTTAGTCCCAAACCTAGCTCTTCATCAAAAGCATCTATGTTTTTTAAAAAAATTATCCATGTTGAGGTTCATCCCTAAAGATTCAGATTCAGAAGTTCTGGGGTGGGGCTTGGGCATCTATAGTTTTATTTAGCTACTCAGATGATTCTGATGTTTGGGATTTTTACTTTTAAATCATATATGTATTTTTAAATTTATATTTTTGTCACTGATTTCTAAGTTAATTGCACTGTAGTGAGATAATACAATTTGTTGACGGCAATAGTTTGAAAGTTGTTGAAACTTGCTTTAAAACTTCATACATGGTCTATTTTTAAAGGATTGATGTGTGTTTGAGAAAATGTATATTCTTTGACTCTCAGACTTACTGTTTTAGTTGTATCTGTTACAGATGAATTTTAAAAATCTAATCTGAAACTCTGATATTATACCTTCTCAGTCTGTTCACCCTATATATTATACTCTTACACACTTTTCATCTTTTTCCCCCTTTTGTCATTTCTGCAGAGTTATCCTCTAGCTCTGTACCTCTCTCCTCCATGAGTTCTGATCTGCTGATTAGCAATCCATTGAGTTCCTTTATTTCAATAACTATATCATATTTTTTATTTTTAAAAGTTAGGCTTTTTTCAGATAAACCCAGTTATTTTTAATCATATTTTGTTGCCTGCTCATACAAAGTACTTCAAAATGTTCATGGAAAGATTGGTATTATCTTTCAATTCTATTTTTCTATGTCTGATAATTCCCGTATCTGATCTATCTGAAGGTCGAATTTATTTTGCTATTTCTGATGACTCTTTCTCTTGGTAACTCATATCTTTGTGCATTTGGTGACCTATTTATTTTATCTTATTTTCTGGTCAGAGAAGCCCTGTGCTTAGCTTCTTCCTGGAGCCTGGATGTTGCCTACCTGAGACCACTTTGTTCCCCCTGAAGAGGTCCAGACCCTGTAGAAAAGTCTGAGGTTCTGCTTCCCTACATTGAATCCTGATCAGAGGTGATTCTCTCAATGGCAATAGTGACATGAACATTTATGTTCAGAGCAGCTCAACCTTCATGTTTGTTTGCTATTCACTATTCATCTCAGTGAGTCTGTTCATTGAGATGGTGGTGCAGAATCAGGGGATTCAGGGCTTTTGGTCATTTCTCTTACTCTTTGTGGGCTCACCAATGTATTGAAAGTGTATTTCATCAAGGATCTAAATTGTTTGTGGCAAAGAGTCCTTTGAAGTGTCTTATCAACTATACTTCCAGAAGCAGAAAACTTCCATTTAATTTAAAATTAATTAATCTGGGCTGGTCTGTTAGCTCAGTTGGTTAGAGAGTAGCCTTATAATACCAAGGTCACAGGTTTGGATTTCTGTACTAGCCAGCCATGAAAAAAAAAAAGAAAGAAAGAAAAAACTATTAATCTGAAGAAGCCTGAGTAAAATATGAGAATGAAATTCAATTTTATTTCTCATATTCACACAATAGGATTAGCTGTTTTATATATGTGAGTATACACACACATACACACACGTGTGTATGTATATGTGTGTATCTCTGTTATCTATTGCTGTCACAAGACCCAAACTTTGTGGCCTAAATGGCAAACATTTATTATCTCCCAGTTTTTGGATCTCAGGAATGTTGAAATAGACTAGCCGGGTAATTCTAGCTCAGAATCTCTCACAAACTTGCAGTCAAGACACCAGCTGGGGCTTCAGTCATCTGAATGCTTAAGTGAGGCTGAAAGGTCTGCTTACAAGCTCACTCATGTGGCTGTTGACTGGAGGCCTCATTTCTTAATTCCAGGTTTTTCCCCTTCCAGATCCTTATGTTACCCTCAACCCCCCTCCAACCCACGTTGCCTCCCCATTTTAATAATATGAAAATGGGTTAAGATTTTGTGTAGCTTAGCTTATTACTCTTACTTGTCTTGTGTGTTCCCAAATATTAGCCAACTTCATTGTGGATCAAATGTTCTTTTGCAGATAAATGCTCTTTTGTTATCATCTGGGCCTATAGGATTATAAGAAATCTTCACAGGCACTGGTCAGTTAGCTCAGTTGGTTAGAGCACGGTGTTATAACACCAAGGTCAAGGGTTCGGACCAGCTGTCCTCCCTTGACCCCCAGCCAAAAAAAAAAAAAAAAGAGAGAGAGAGAAAGAAAGAAATCTACACAGGCAAAAGGCTGAGATATCCATTGGGGAAGAGGTTTCAGCAAGAATTTGATCTTTGCCCACCTGAAAATACCAGGATAGTAGCCCAATAGTGGCTCAGCTGAAGAAAGAGTTTTGGTAAGAACTCTGTCCACCTTCAGAAAATCCACACAGAGGAGAAATCTAAACAGTACCCAAAGGGAAACCTTCAATATGATTGGTTCCTCATAAGTAAGTCAGAAAGTCCGTTTGGGAAAAGAACATAGTAACTGAATTAGCTGTAAGAACCCTTAAACTAGGAAAGGTAGCCCATAAATGTTCCTATGAATTCACTTAATCTTACAAGGGTGCGTGATTCCTCACATCCTAAGTTTTTCCTGACAATTTTCCCACACACCATATAGCCAATTTGGGTTGGGTGCCCTTCCTTCATGTAACTCCAGAACTCTGCACCTACCTCGACATTAACACTTGAACTCCTGACTTTTATGTTTACCCCACTAACTAATGAGCTCCTTGAGGAAAGGGCCTGGCACATGCTATGTAATCAATGTTTCTTGAATATATGACTAAACAATTCATTACCTTGCACAATTTGCCAAGTTCAACATGGTCAGTTGCCTCAAAGGTAAAAGTGACTTGAGGCTACCATCAGTTATTCCCTTGCAGTCCACCATGTAAATGTGACTGATATTTGGATAATTCCTGCCTATAAATTTGAAGCATGCATCTGTAATCCTTTTATTTCCTGTTAAAAATAAACAAAAAGAGAAAAAAAAGATAAGTACTGTTTTTCTAATACCAAAAGAAAAAAAGTAAAAAATAAGGCTGAACCACATTTTTAATATCACAGACCTTCAAATCGGATCTTTCTGAGATTACAAGTAGAAAGAGCTTTGAAAGCACGATCAGAGATATGTGGTGCACCAATGAAAACTATTGATGTAATACGCTGGCACTTTTCAACTAAAGCCTTTAGAAAGAAAAAAGATGATTAAATTAACTGCAGTATATAGAATAAGCTTAGCAAAGTAATGAGATCATTTTTTTCTTTCAATATGTTCAGAAACAGACATGTTAACTATTAAATTTTCCTAATTTCAAAGAAAATGGGGTTTTTCAATATATTTTAGTACACTTTCTTTTGAGTAATGCAGAGGAATTAGAATTAAATCATGTTACAAGAATATGGGAAAACATGAGAAAATGGAATGCTGAGAAAAATCACTACATTTGGCAGCTTGACATGGAGAACGAAACTTAAAGTTTGTGCTTAGGCTACAGCATCACTGAAACAAAAATATTCTAACTGTGAAACAAGATTTCTTAGAGTATTTCTTACAATTCAAATGTGCAAATATTTTGGGGGACTTGTGTGTATGTGCATGGGTGTATTTTTAAATAATTTTCTTACTGTTAAAAAACAACAAAAATAAAAAGCCTATCTAAATGTTTCAATAATTCAAGTCATTATAAAATGTGCCCCTCTAATGGGACTGAGAAGAAGATGCACTTTCCCACTACCTACCTTTACACAGTTGTCCGTCAGAGTTGGCATGTCATTAATGGTCAGATGCATAATTCCAGTGCAGCTGTTTGCAATGTTCCTGAAGCCTTGGACTGAAATCTAAATTGTACAGAGTAGGTGAAAATGATGGGAGGACCCATTAACATGACATCTAATAAAACCCCAAAGGCAATAATAACCAAAGGTATGTCATGATTTTTTTTATTAGGTTTTAAAATTGAAACCAGTCTAGTCTGGTTTCTTCCTTTATTAAGTTTTTATTGTGGTAAAATTCATATAACATAAAATTAACCACTTAAGCCATTAACCATTTATAATGTTGTGCAACCACCACCTGTATCTAGTTCCAAAACATTTTCATCACCCCAAAAGGAAACCCTGTACCCATTAAGCAGTTGCTCCCCATATTCCCCTCTTCCTAGCTCCTGGCACCTGTGTTGTCTCTATGAGTTTACCTATTTTCGATATTACATGAAAATGGAATTATACAATATGTGAGCTTTTGTACCTGGCTTCTTTTACTTGGTATAATGTTTTTGAGGTTTATTCACTGCTGTGGATTGATTGGTATCCCCCAAGTCCATATATTAAAGCTTATTCTCCACTGTAACTGCTGAGGGTGGGAAATCCTATTATGCTAATTGAAGGGTGGGACCTTGAAGAAGTGATTATATTTTTGGACCATGCCATAGTGAATGGATTAATAATGGTTGTCAGTGCATGTTTCTGAGGGCTTTAAAAGGACAGCATGTGAGTCTCTCTCTCTCTGCTTCTGCCATCTTGCAATGTAATACCCTGTGTCACAGAAGCCACCACCAAGGAAGAACTTCACCAGATGTATTTCCTGGACTTTGGACTTCCCAACCTCAGAAACTGTAAGCAACAAATTGTGTTTTCTTACAAAGTACTCAGTTCCAGATATTTTGCTATAAGCAACAGAAACGAACTAATACATCCACATTGTAGCATGTATTAGTAGTACCTTATTCCTTTTTATGGCTGAATAATATCCTATTGTATGGATATACTACACTTTGCTTATCCACTCATCTGTTAATGGATATTTGGATTGTTTCCATCTTTTGGATATTTTGAATAGTGCTGCTGTAAGCATGCATGTTTGAGTACCAGTTGTCAATTCTTTGGGGTATACACTTAGGGGTGGAATTGCTGGGTTATATGGTAATTCTTTGTCTAACTTTTTAAAAAAACAACAAACTATTTTCTATAGTGGCTACACTATTTTACATTCCCATCAGGAATCTATAAGTGTCCCAGTTTCTCCACATCTTTGCTAATGCTTATTTTCCACTAAAAAATATTTTTTCCTATTGGGTTTGAAGTGGTATTACATTATGGTTTTGATTTGTATCTCCCTTGTAACTAATGATATTGAGCATCTTTTTGTGTGTTTATTAGCCATTTATGTATCTACTTTAGGGAAACATCTATTCAAGTCCTTTGCCTATTTTTAAATTGGGCTGTTTGTCTTTTTTGTTGTTGAATTGTAAGAATTTTTTATGTATTCTGGATACTAGACCCTAATTAGATACCCATTCTGTAGGTGGTCTTCTCATTTTAAAAATAATGTCCTTTGATGCACAAAACTTTTAAATTGTGATATTTTGATGAAGTCCAATTTATCTATTTTTTCTTTTGTCATTCATTCTTTTCCTTTTGCTGTTCATTGCCTCAGCACCAATTGTTAAAGAGAATATTTTTTTCCCTGCATCGAATGGTCTTGGCACCTTTGTTGAAAATCAATTGGCCATAAATGTATGAATTTGCTTCTGGACTCTCAATTCTATTTTATTGATCTAAATGTCTATCCTTATGCCAGTACCACACCATTTTGATTACTGTAGCTTTGTAGTTCTGATTTCTCTCTTTTCACCTGTCTTTATCCACAGTAATGGAAGCAACAGTGGCAGAGAGTTCAAAATAATGACAGATCCAAAGATCAAAGTATTTGCCGATGATGAATTACCTTAAAATTAGTTGTTATTCATGCTCCATTTCCTATAACAAAGGGACATAGATGGGAAATCAGATGGTGTACAGATTCAGTAATGGGAAACTTAGACTCTACCCAGGAGCACACAGAAAGAAGGCCTTTGAAGAGTCAGCTCCACAATAGCACGATAGGGGGAATGAAGAGCAGCAGCTACAATGGACCTCTTGAAAGGCCTTTGGAGACTTCACATTTACCATCTTTCACTAAAGCCTCTACCTATTTGAAAAGTACAAGCCGAAAGGGAGAGAACTGAGTGTCACATCACCAGGACAGCCAGAGCTCATCTCAATGTCACTTCCTCAGGAAGTGTCCATCACCCTTAGATTAAACCAGGTTCTTGTTATGCACTTAACAGCACCATGTAATTATCATAGCTATAATTAAATTAATTTTATGTTTAGTTATTGAACTAACTCCCCTGTACCCCAGCTCCCAGCAGGGTGCCAATAGCATTCACTGAGTAGATAATCAAATAATAGTATTACATTAATAAATAGGTGTGTGTATAAATGAATTCTGAGATCCACGTCTATTCAGTAGGTTCTGCTGCCCAGCAGACACTGATAATGCAAGTACCCAGTCAAAAGCCAGAGGAAGCCCTTGAAGCTGGGGGCCAAGCAGGTACTCTTGATTTGCTGCAGAAGCCAGGCCTTTGGGTGGAAGTATATTTAAATGATTTTTCTAAACATGCTTTGGGAAATATGAGGGTACTTTTAAAAGTTTGTGGAAAAACTGAATTAAAATATAAATCCTCCTATGAACTTTTTGACAAAGCCGCCCCCCCCCCCAATGTTTCTAAAGCCTGACAAATGTACCTATTTTGGCTTAATAATTCTTCTTTGAAAAAATTATCCTAAGGAAATAGAGTTTCATACAGAGATTTATGAAGGTTCTTCAAAAGTTCATGGAGGGCCAACCCCGTGGCTCACTCGGAGAGTGCAGCGCTGGCAGCACTGAAGCTGCGGGTTCTGATCGGGTATAGGGACGGCCGGTGCACTCACTGGCTGAGTGTGGTGCAGACAGCACCATGCTGAGGGTTGCGATCCCCTTACCGGTAGGAAAAAAATTTAAAAAGTTCATGGAAAAATTCATATAATTTTTTAATTCTATTTTCCCACAAACTTTTTGAAGTACCCTCATATGTATAAGGATGTTTATTGCAGAATTATACAATAGTGAAAAATTGGTACCAAACCAAGGTTACAATTAGAAATGGGTTAACTAAACTATGGCAATCCACATGATAGAGTATAATATGGTTACTACAAATAATGTTTTAGAAGAATAACAGCTCATGATATAGTTTAAAAGAAAAAGTTGGTTGGATAAAGGCTTGCTAATCAAAATGTGGTCCATAGGCCAGCAGCATCTGCATTACCTGGGAGCTTGTTTGTTAGAAATGCAGAATCTCAGCACACTACCTACTGACTTAGAGGCTGTATTTGAACAGGATCCCCAATTGATCCACATATACATGATAGTTTGAGAAGTGCTAATCCAGAGGAAATGAGTGAGCAAAAAGAAGGTATATTAGTTAGGGTTCTCCAGAGAAATAGACAGGATATGCATAGAGACAGACAGATTTATTTTAAGTAATCAGCTCATGCAATTGTGGAAGCTGGCCAGTCTGAAATGCAGGCTGGCAGACTAGAAATTCAGGGAAGAACTGATGTTGTAGTCTTGAATCCAAAATCCATAGGCTGGAAACTCAAAGTTTCTATGTTTCGGTCTTGAGGCAGAATTGCTTCTTCTTTGAAAAACCTCAGCATTTATTCCTAAGGCTTTCAACTTATTGGATGAGGTCTACTCACATTATGGAGGGTAGTCTACTTTACTCAAACTCTACTGATGTAAATGTTTACCACATCTGAAAAAAATCCTTCACAGAAACATCTAGATTGGTGTTTGACCAAACAACTGAGCACCATAGCCTAGCCAAGCTGACACGTAAAATTAATCATCACAGAAGGAAATACACCAAAATGTTATCAGTGATCATCTTTGAAGAGTGGATAGTTTTTGTGTTTTTCAAACATTCTACAATGACCCTGTCTAACCAGAAAAAGAGAAATAGAAAGAGGCATCTTTTTGGAAAAGGCAGTATAAGGATGCCCTTGGGCAGTTTTTGAATAATTTCCTGTCATAGCCTTCTCCTTGCAGGAAAATACCATCTAATAAATGGCCTATAACTCTTTATTTTAGCCCATAACTCCTTCCTATAATCTATGTGTGTCTTATTCCTCCAAAGAGATGATCATATACTCTTCTCGAATTTCCTACTTTGTTGTACGATTATTAGGGACTGAATAAATCAAATTTAGGGATAAGACAAAGTATGTGAAGGAGTATAGAATTTAGCAACAGACAAGATTGAAAATGATTCCAGGTGGAAGGTAAAGTTTAAGCAGAGGCAAAGCAGCAGGAGTACTGGCTTTGGCTGATATGGCAAGATCATGCCTGGGATGAATAAGAGAAAATTAGTAGGTAGGGAAGGAGGGAAAGCTAATGAAAGACCCATAAGGCAAGCATGAGATATTTTGCATTGTACAGTCATGGATTTGTGAGTAAATTTTCCATACAAACTTCCCGATAACAGTCCAGAGAAGAAGAATAAGCAATTTAAAACATGAAGAAACAGAGGAGAGAAAAGAATGCTTGGTTGGAGTCAGCACAGCTGAGTTTGAGTCTGGCTCTGCCTCTTTCTCACATGTAACAAAAAGTAGCTTCACCTCTCTGACTCTTAATTTTCTCATCTGTAAAGTGGATATAATAATACCTATTTTAGGAGATTCCTGAGAAAACAAAATGAAGCAATGCATGAGTAAGTGGTTAGTTAGCACAATGTCTGGCATGTAATGTTGGGTACCACTTTTCCTATTAGTTATTCTGGGCACAATTTGCTCCCACAGAATAGTAAAGAATCAAGAACTATGGGATTGAGGGCCTTAAGAACTCATTATAGTGCATTCTTCACACTGCAAACATAAAAAATGGTATTCAGAGAAGTTGTGTGATTAGAGAACAGGTTCTTTATTCCTCACAATATGTCCCCAATGCTGGATATGGTGTCTAATACAGAGTGGGT